TCAGCAAGGGCCACGGGCGAAATTAAAAGTACTTGGCTTGGAGATGTCGCCTTGATACCGGGGGGTGGGGAGGGAGGGAGGGGGACGGAGAGGGGGAGCAGGGGAAGAAAGGAGAAGAAGGAGGTGGAAAGAAAGAAGAGGGAAAAAGCAAGAAGAGCGACAGAAGTCGAGGAGCGGGAGGGAGATGTTGAGTAGGGTCAACGCCTGCTTTCCCCATGGCTGCCATCTCGTGTTGGCCTGGGCTCCTCGCCCTCTCTGGGTGCTCCCAGGTGGCTGATGCATGTTTGAGGAAGGGAAGCAGCATGTGTTTTAGTAGGGCTCTGGACCAAAAGCCCCTCTCACCCCCAAATGCCTCCAATCTCCCTCGCCCAGAGGCTGGGGGACCTGCGATGCTCGCTGCACGAGAAGCCTGGGAAGTACCTGGCTGTCAGGTTAAAGTCCCCAGGCATAAATCGAGGAGCCCTGAGGTGAGAGCCATGACCCCGCTGTGACACATGACAACAGAGCTAATTTGGGTTTTACGCTCTCTATTTATCCTGCTGGGCCTGGCAGCCTGGCCGCTCTCCCTCCCTGCTCAGCCCGCTCCCACTCGGGGAAGGGCTTCTCCAAGGGATCTTTGGGGTGGCTCAGGGCTCGGCACAACCCCCAGGGATGAAGCAGCCCCTCAGCCTGGGGCACTTTGAGGAGCAGCTGTACTTAAACACCAGGTTTCCCAAGCAGGAGAAGGGGCAGAGCCAGGTTTAAGAACTTGCTGGGGATCCTACCTGCTGTGCCCTGCCAGGAGTAACTCCAAGCCCCCAGCACGTGGGCACACAGGGACCATGGAGCTGGTGTGCCCTCACCTCGTCCATCAGCCCAAGGGCTCTGGGTGGTTAGCTGACTTTAGCACGACTTCAAGACATTAAGACTTAAATTATGACTTTAAGACATTAGCATGACTTTAACCCAAAAGGCCACCAAACACTGAGAAAGCAAACCATGAGGGGATATGAAATCCAGGATGCCTCTCCACACACCTGGAGACACCTTTCAAGGACAGTCACCATCACCTGGGTGGAGGTGGAGTGACCAGACCATCTCCCAAGGTCCTGTAGCCTTCACTTTTTCCTCCTATATTGCCAGCATCCCTGTTATTTGTTCCCCCCCATGCCTGGAGCTGCCCCTGACCCCCAGGAGAGCCACCCAGCTCGGTGCAGTGCCAGGCTCTGAGGCTGCACGTCGTGCTTCCAGCCGGGCTGCCAGGGGACTGAGGGGTAAAAAGGGCAAGAGGAAAAGAGCCGACGTGCAAATGAGGGAGAGAAAGCTTCAGAGCAATGCTGAAGGGAGATTTAAGCCTTGGCAGAGATGCAGTGGGAGGTGCTGTGGGAGCTGGAGCTGCCTCAGCCCCAGTGTGTGGCTCTTCCCCTCTCACATGGATCAAAGCTGGCTCCAGGAGTCAGACTGACCCTCTCCTGAGCTGCCCTGCCTGAGCTCACACCATCCTTCAGTCCCAGAAGTAGGGAACAGAGCTGCTGTGGTCTGTCCCTGCTCCCCCCTCTGGGCCATTCCCCGGCTGTAATGATAAAAATGATTCTTTGGGGAGCGGAGATCCCAGCTCTGAAGCACAACTTTGCTGCTGGTCACACAGGGAGGGATCTGCTAGGTGTCACGCAGGGAAATAAAACACCCCCGCCAAATACATCTTTAAGCAGAGCACTGCATTTTCAAGAACTGGGCATCATGTTATTAAAAAACCAGTGCATCCAAAGGAACGTTTCCCAACCTTCAAGTGCTTGACTCAGCAAATGTAATATTGGTGATGCAGCTTCCTAAGGGTTTTTCTCCACCCTGCCTCTCCCACGTCCCTATTCAGTCTCTTCCCAGGGAGCAGTGGGTAAGGTTTAAGCATCCCCATCCACAGGAGCTATGTGCGGTGCAGGACCCTGGCTGTTACAAACATGAGCAAACCTCTCCTGACCCTAATTCTCAGGAACAGTCACTCTGTGACACTTCAGCTGGAGCAGACACCGAGCATCGAGGTGGCAGAGGCGCCGGAGGGCAGCGATATCAGCAGTGCCATCAGAGAAAAGCACTGCTGAGCGTGCCCTCTGTGCCTCACCAGCTCTGCTCGTATCAACCTGCAGGAGCACGGGCAGAAATACACCTGGATGTGCAGGCACGTGTGTGCCTGCCTGCAGGAACACCCATGGGTGCTGCTCGTGCCAGCTCGAACAAGGTGTAAAACAGGTGAACGTGAATCAAGGAGACCCACGTGTAGTGCTCAGGTGGGCTTCATGCAGAGCATCCCTCCTGCCGCCGTGCTCGTGCTCCGCCAAGGTGAGCTGGGAGGTAATCCCCCTTCGGAGGAGGAACACCACCAGTCCTGCCTTGCAAGAGTTAAACCCCATAAAAGCGAGGCTTGTAGTTTTGTTTTCTTTCAATTTATACCCTTCGCTTAAAGAGGTGGGGGGGGGGGGGAAGAAAGGAGGGAGAGAAAAAAGAAAGCCAGGTGACATATTCTAAGAGGGAGCACCGAAAACGTGTTAAGCACTTCAAAATCTCATATATTCAATCGGCCTCTGGCAAGACATCTGCCTAATGTTAGCGCTTAAATATCCTTTTCCATTTTACATGCATTCAAGTCTCATTTGAGCGAAATGAAACGGTATTATTAAAGGGAGATTTTGCACAAATGGCCTGAATTTGACATGTCAAGTTCAATGAGGCTGTTACATATGTAACACCGAGAAGGGCTCGGAGGCTGCCGGCTCTTGAAACAGCGCCAGTGGCTCAGAAATGAAATTTGCATTCAGAGAGCCTGGCCTCGCCGTGCGGAGCTGCGTGCGGGGCTCAGCCGGGTGGTGCCCGCCGTGCCGGTGCTGCCCGTGGGGAAGGGCTGTCCCTGTCCCCTGGGGACAGCAAACCTGGCCCCAGAGCCGAGCGAGGGGCACGTCGGCTGGGTGGGCAGCAGCACTTGGGTGGCTCTTCCAGCTCCTGAGGTAGCCTGGAGGAATCCCTTTTCCTCCTTCCCTTCCACTGCCTCCACCGCGTGCTGCTGAGCTCTGCGCCGGTGATGCCCAAAAAACGCTGTTGGAGGCAACAGCACAGGGCAGCCCTGCAAATTGCTTCTCCACCAGCCTCTCCCCTTTCCATCGGGCCCCAGGGCAGCCTCGTGGGCTGTGCTGTCTCAGGGGAATTCGGGGCTGCTGCCAACGTGCTGCCTCCCTGCAGCATCCCTGGTGCTGCCGGCTCAGCAGGCAGGAGGGGATCTGCCTTCCTAACCCCCCGTGCTGGAAATTTATGATTTTGTTGCAAATCATTAAGGTTTATTAAAACTTAACAGCGCAAGCCATGATTGGCTATATCCTCTTTAAATTAAGAAAAAAAAAAAAAAAAAGAAAAAAGAAAAAAAGAGGCCCTTGGAAAGCAGCCCCCTGGTTCGCTTCTCCCCATCAGGCTGATCAGGAACAGCTGCTCAGCCATTTCGGTAACGAGTCAGGCGTTGGCAGGGAGCGGCCAGGGCTGCCGGTGCCCGTCACGTTTATAGGCCTACATTTTATTTTTATGTTTATTGGGTTATTTGAGATCATTATTAGTTTCTCTCTCCTCTTGTTGATGTGTTCTCGCTCCCGGCTCCTGCAGGGCAAGGAGGGTGGGGGAATGGGAGAAGGGGCCACCCGAGGGACGGAGCCCCTATCCTGCCCTCCGCAGCGGGCACACCGGCACCGTGCACGGCCGCTGCCTGCAGCTCAGCCTGCTTCACCCCAACCCGCAGCCTAGATTGAGCGTTATCTATCACGGAGCGGAGGGAGTCGTTATTTAATAATTAATCAAGACCTCTGCTTCTTCTTCGCCGCCTGCGTGGCCGAGCAGAGCGGGCGAGGGAAGCGAGGGCAAGCCGGGGAGAGCTGTCTCCTCTCTAACTGCTGCTGTTATTTAAAGGAATAATGCCATTCTTTTTCATTTGTCAGCTGGCCCACAATGGCCCTTGTCACGCTTTATGATTTAGAGTTTCCTTTCCTTTCCCATTAAACGCCACCTTCCCATCACCGCCTCGCGCCAGCCGTCCTCCGCGCCTGGCTCGCAGGTTTCAGTTTCGCTCTGATATTGGCCCAACTTCTTTGATGGGCTCCTCGGAGTGCTAATTGCTTCTGTTCATTTAAACCTGTTCACTAATTTGCAGTGGCCCTTTATTAAGTTGGATGCGGCCCAAATTATGCCATAAATTACGCTCGCGAGGGGAGCGGGTGGCGGGGGGGATAAATGGGCTGGCTCTTCCCTGCGCCCTCCTTCCCTGCGCACCGCCGGGGAGCGCAGGATCCGGCCCGATGCTGTGTGGGTGCTCCCTCTGACAGCTCCCAGCCCACCTGGGGACCTCTCTGGTTCTCCCCCTCCTTTTCCCTTCCCTCTGTAATGTTTATTGCTCAGTGGCAAAGAAGATCCCAGCCAAGCTGGGGCAGGGATGGATCTGGCTACCCCTGCGCTCACCGCAGCCGCATGGAGCCCCCTTGCCATGGCACACATACACACACTGGTGCAGGCGCTCTCCCTCCCCTCCTACCACCTGGTGACGTAACTCAGCTTCTAGCCCTCCGTTTGATTCCTTTCCTCACCTTTTAATGACCGGGGAATTCATTAATAATTGAAATAAACACGCTCTTTTCCAAGGCTGCTGAGTTTTATTAAGGCAGGGGCAGGGATCTGCCAACCCTTGGCTGCAGCCATTTCCTAAATAACTGCTAGCAGTTAAAATGCAATTATTATTATTTTATTTTTTTTAAAAAAGAGGACTTTGCTGTGCTGGGGAAAGCGGCAGGAGCTGAAGGCAGCCGAGGGGCAGTGTGCATGCATGCTGCAGTCCTGCTCCATCACAGGACATGTCCTGGCCATGGCAGCATTCCATGTGGCCAGGATGGGACCAGGCTGAGGGCACCAGGACTCTTGCAAATTTGCTCTGCTCATGGCCGTACCTACATTTCCTCTGGCACCCCAGGCTGGAGGTGCTGTGGGTGGCTGCTTACCTGATGTTCAGCTGGGTCAGCTTCTCCAGCTCCTGCTCCATGTGCTCCTGCAGCTCCCCAGGGCGAAGGAGGACCTGGCAGATGGGGCAGATGGGAGCCTGGCTGTCAAACAACGTCGCTTTCTTTTTGCCTGCAGGGAAGGAGAAGAGGGGGGAAAGCTTTAGCTCCTGTGCAGCCTCAGTCCTGGGGAGGTGGCTGAAAGCAGCATCACCTGCACCCTGCTCTGAGCCCCGTCCCCCAGCAGTTTGGTTTAGGTACAGCAGCTTTAGGACAGATTTTCTCATCACTCCTGCTCCTGAGCAGCAGGCACAGAGGGAGTCTGGTGGAGTCCAGAAACCAGCAAGGTTTTTTTTCTGGTATATCCCCATTTCTCCTCCTTTCTCACATTCCTAGTGACAGGGACTGGCCCTGTCCTGCACACAGGCACAAGAGCATCCCAATGATACAGAGTGGGGAGAAACAGCCCCGTTTCTGGGGTGCCCCTCCATAACCCCAGCTTTCCCCATTTCCAGAGCAGACAACACGGCTCAGAGATGGATGTCACAGTGTTTCTCTCTGTTCCTATTAACTAAACAGCAAATTAAGAATAACCAACTTAATGCTCCTCGGTGCGCCTGGAGCCAGGTGGTTGGGACCCCAAAGGGCAGAGCCGTTTACCCCTGGATGTGGGTGCTGCTGTTCCCCTCCTTGTCCCCAAACACCGCCCCTCCACATCCCCAGCCCTGCCAGCTTTCCCCGCTCCGAAGCCAATTTCCTCCAGCTCGGAAACTTTATTGCCCCCTCTGTAAGGAATATACAGTGCCTATTTAACCTAAAATAAAACTCTAAAGCAAACAGTGAAGTTTCAATAAAAGGGAAAAGCCCAGGGGGTGCCCAGGCCCCTCTCTCCCAGCTGTATTAGCAGCTCTGCTCATGAGAGGGCGTGCGGAGCCCGGCTCAGCTGGCTGCGTTGGGGAGGAACATGCTTTATAGCCGCCTGTTGTCATCCAACGCCAACCCTCCTGCTGGATTATTTATTTATGTATTAGACATGGATCAAATTGGTTAAACCCGAGCGAGAGGCAGTAATGCACAATAAAGCAGGCAGTGCTGGATACGAGGGGGCGACGCGCGGCGTGGCCTTCCAATCGGAAGCCAAAAGGTGCCATTTTATGGCTCCTAACGATGGCAGAGCCCAGTTAAATGCAGCCCCGTTAAAGGAATAGACCTTCTCCAAGTATAAACCATCGGTGCGGGCAGCTTTACTGGGGCCCTGCTGCTCAGTGGAGGTGCCTGGCGCAGGCATTTAATGAGAGGAAGGGTCTGAAAGAAGTCAGAGTCACCTTGGCCCATCGCTGCCTTCCAGCAGGACACGACGTGCCTGGCAGAGCAGGGACTGCCACCAGGATATCACCTGCCCTCTTCTTCAGCCTCCTGACACAAGAGAAGGGAAAGTGAGGCACGGGGCAGCGCTATGGGGCTTCCCCTTCATCTCCATCCACTGGGAACTCTTCCACACGCAGACCTGGTGGAGAGCCCAAGCTGGACTTGAGTTGCTCCCAACAGCTCCTTGAGGAGCCCTGGGCACGTCCCTCAGGTCCTTGTCCCTCCATCCCGATCCTCCCGCAGCAAAGGGGAGGACGAGGGGTGCTGCCACATGGCTGGGATCACCCCATCTCTTTCCTGCTCCTGCCCTCATCTTTAATAATGCCCAGAACCCAAGCCCAAAGAAGCAGCTCCCGCTGACCCTTGCGGGAAAGGTCGGCATTTCAGCAATTCCACCTTCCTGCTGGAGCCTTTCCACTTTTGTGTAGCGGGGGCCCAAAATAGCCCAGGAGCGTCCCCGACCACCTGCTATTTATAACCCCAGCTTCGCAGCAAAACAATGGAGCTGTCTGAGTCTCCTTCCCAAAATAAACAGGCGGCCTTTGAGCGGACGGGAAATCCTGCTGGATCCCCGCTGCGGGGCGTGCAGATGGACGGGGGAGCGGGCTGCCCTCCTCCCTCCTGCCTCGGCCACTGCTGTGGGACCTGCCAGCCCCTGGCTGCCACCCTCAGCCTGGGATGGGGACACTCACGGAGGGTGACCCAGGGGTTGGGGGGTGTTTGTTGGGGGGGTGATGGATAATCGTGATGACTCCGTGTTGGGGAAGGACACAGCCATCACCCTGCATCCTGCTCAGGAGGTGCTGTGACAGCAGGGCAAGGTCCCCTGGCCCCAGAGAGCGTGGGGGGCTGTGGATCAGGCTACAGCAAGGGCTTCAAGAGGGGCAGGAGAGCAGGGTCCCCGCCACACCACCAAGCCCCCGGTGTACAGCCTGAAAGCAGGGGGCAGAGGAGCCCCTGCTCCTGGCCCAAGGGGCTGACAGCCGCGCTTTGGCAGCTGCTGGGCTAAGTGACAGTGACAGGCAGAGGGCAGGGGACGGTCCTGGTGCCAGCAGGACACCTACGCCAGCCTCCCCAGCTCTGCCAGGCTCCCTGTGTGTCTCCCCGAATCAGCAGGGCCGCATCTGCAGCATGCCCAAGGGCCCCACGCTCGCCCACGCTGCTGCGTGCCATGGCACCCAGCTCCGTGCCACGCGGTGCTGGGTGGCAGGGAAGGAAGGGACAGCAATCTCCAGCATTTGGAAATCTCCAGTATTTGTTTTTTATCTCCTCTCTGGAGCTGGGGCACCCATGCTGCGTGTGGCTGGATCAGGGTGAAACACGGGGTCCAGATCCCCGAGCAGGCTGGCCCCGTGCCTGCACCAGCAGCAAGTGCTCCCCGTCCTGCCCTGTGCCAAACCAGCTCCTGGGAGACCCTGAATGGCTCTTTTCAGGCTTTTGTTTTTTTGGCAGCTGTGTTTTTGTTTTCCTTGCCCCTCTCTCTCTCGCCGCCGCTCGGCTCCAGTGTTTACCCTCCTCGGCTCTGCCGCACTCCCCCCCGCCGACCCCCTGCTCGCCGGTGCCAGAGAGATGAAAAGGCAGAGCCGCGGTGCTCCCGCTGTTTGCCTGGGCTCCTGGGCTCCGCGGAAATGTTGAACTCCAAGTGTTGAAACGGAATATTTCCTGCTCCGACAGCCGAGCGCCCGATGTGCAGACGCACCCCTGCGCGGAGGAATTTGTCCACGGGCCCCGTCAGAGGGCGTCTGCAAGCAGATCCCAGCCCAGGTGGGAATGACCCCAAACCCTCCTGATCCTGCTGGGGATGGAGGGACAGATCCTGGCCTCAGCCATGCCGACACTGAATCCAGGGTAATGCCACTGGGTCCTGAGCCAGCCTCATCCACCCCAAAGCCCTGCTCGCAGAACCTGCCCACAGCAAAGATGGGAAAAGCTATTTTGGAGAATTTAAGTGGAAAAAAATGGACCCAGCCCACCAACGGCCCCAGCAGCATGTGGTGTACACAGACCTCCATTGCCACGTGGCACTAAAGCTCCCAAGTCACTCCGTGTGAGCAGAGTTTACAAGGCACAAGGGCTCGCCCTGCCCAGGAGCCCAGCAAGTTGCCAAGTTAATGGAATAAATGGTTTGTAATTAAATTCGTTGCTCAGGCTCTGCTGAGGGATTATAGCACAGCCAGCATGGCTCGCCGGGTGCCACCATGGGTGGCACGTGTGGGTGGTGGCAGGTGGGGAATGCTCATGGGGACGTGTTCCCTGCTGAGGATCTGCTTCATCTTTCCTAAAGGACCTTCACTGGGCAGACTCCAGGGCACCCACCCGGGTCTCAGAGCATCTTCTCACCACGCTGTTCTTCCTCAGGGCCATTAGAAACTCTCCCTTTTTTCATCTTGCCCCCGGGAGGACCAGCACTGCTCTCCCAACTCCTAATTTTCCAGCATCTCAAACTGTTTTCCACTTGTCTGAGTCCAGAAACCCCCCTTTCTCCCTCCATTTCATCCTCCCATTTTCTCTCTCTCCCTCTTAAACACTCCATCATTTAACACCCATCACAGCCGCTTGATCTGAAACCCTCCTGAATAGCAATGACCCCGTGCCGGGGCCCCGCGCGCCGCTCCTGGGGCCGTGCCGGAGCCAGGTGGGTGGTAATGGAAGTGCTGACACCGGCTCCTTGACAGCACCGCCTGCTGCCAGCGCCTGTAATAATCCCTCCTGGCTCCCCCTCGGCTCGGCTTCTGCGGCGATTATTTTCCATTCGGTGATGGGCCTGCTGTTATTTGTGTACTGATAGCAGATATCTCGTGTGACAAGCTTCCTTTCCTTCCAGCTCAAAAAACAATAATTCAAAGAAAGCCCCATATTAGCTTGGAAATAGCCAGGCACTCGCTCCTCTCCCCGCCAGCCCGCGCAGCATCCCGGGAGGCTGGCGCTGCGCAGCCCCGACTGTGAGTGCTGGGGAAGGGGCTTCCACGAACAGGGGAGGATGACAACGGGTGGATGAAGGTGGAGGTGGCTCTGGGCAGCACAGGGCACCTGTCCCCGCAGCAGCAGAGCCTCCTTGAAGGACAAAAACTACTTGGTGCTAAGGGGAGGGAGCGTGGTAGCGTTGCTCATTGCTGTCCCATCTCCCCGCCACGCAGGGTGGTTTAATGGGGTGCTCATGGGGCCACATCCTGCCTGCTGGGTGCCTCCTGGGGTCCTGCTGGCTACGGTTGGGGCAAAAACGGGATTGCTATGGGGTCACCTATCATTGAGCTGCAGTTCTCCGGAGCAGGTGTATTTTGGAGGGCTGTGCATGCAGGAAGGGAGCAGGGGTCCTGAAGAGAGGCTTTTTTTGCAAGCTAAAGCTTTGGAGGAGTCACCTCTCCACGCCACCAGCAGAAGCTGGACGGGTGTTTGTTTGACAGTGCCCAGGCCAGCACGTGGAACGGGGCCACCCCTACCTTGAATCCAAGTAAGGGGCAGGGGTTTGTACAGCTGTGATCAGGGAGGACAGACGGACAGAGGGACCTCTGTGACCCCTCTGAGCACAGTGGGACACAGCAAAGAGCCAAACTCAGCCCCTGCAGTCCCCTAGAAGAGCCCGATCTCCTGGTAAGCTGCTGGGCTGCAAAGCAGCTCAGCAAATACACCTGCTTCTCCCGAGGCTAAAAAAACATCTACAGTGGGATCCAAGGCAGCAAATGCTAAAATCTTGACTTCCTTCCAAAGAAAAGAGTTGCTCTACCATCTGCCTCTCTGGGCGCAAAGTTGTGCAAGGTGGCCCCT